GGAGGACACCCAAGTTGCGAGCCCTCTCTGAGGGGGCCAAAGTTTCGCCCCCTATAGACAGCGATGGAATCAGCTGGCTATGCCGGGGCGCCGGCAACCACAGCCACTCGGTCTTGGAAGGGTTGAGTCTGAGTCTGTTCCTCCCCATCCAGACCCGTACGGCCTCCAGGCAACGGGTCATCACGTCAAGGGCATCGTTACTGATTTTCCTTGAGTTTAAGTGGCGTGCATAGTTCTTTCACCCAATTCTATTCTCACAACAATCTAGTGAGGTAGTTTGTCAGAGAGCGAGTAATTTACTCAGAGGTAGTAAATGAGTGACATAGATGTACAATAGAGTTCAAATTAAAGCTTTTTGTTCTCCAATCTCTGAGGACTCTAACTACTATACCAATTATCCCCAACCTGAGCAACTTCCAAATGCATGGAGATATCAACTCCCAGAATTCCATCGTCCCCATTGCTGAGAATTCTGGGAGTTGAACTCTGCACATTACAGACCATCAAGAACAGAAGGCTGCAGTGCATAATACTGACCATCTACAACAGTGGTGGTGAACCTATGGCACGGGTGCCAGAGGCGGCACTCAGAGCCCTCTCTGTGGGCACACGCGCCATTGCCCCAGTCCTAGGCCTTCAGCTGGGTTTTATAAAACCTTTTCACTTTTGGCCTCCGCCGTCGTGTGCAAAAAAAAAAAAAGGTTTAATCAATTTAAACTTCTCACGGGAAAAAAAATCTTGCAAAGTTGGAATTGATTGATTGAACTTTTTAGTCCCACCCAGTCTGCCGTTACCACCGCAGCCACGCCCACCCAATGGGCCACACCCAGCCAATGGGCCACACCCGCCCGGCACCCGACGATGCATAAGTGGGTTTTGGGTTGCAGTTTGGGCACTCGGTCTCTAAAAGGTTCACCTTCACTGATCTACAACAAAGGTGGAGAACTATGGTCCCTTTATGATTAGTGGACTTCAGCTCCCAGAATTCTTGCGCCAGCCATGCTGGTTCAGGAATTCTGGGAGTTGTAGTTCCCCACTTCCGAGCTAAAACAAGGTTTTTAAAACTTTTTTGTAATTTTTCAAGACTTCTTCTCACTTTTAAAAATTCTGGAGGACCTCAAAGAGGTTTTGTTTGTGTGGGTTATTTACTATATTAAAAATAAAAGATAATTCAATGCCACTGCCAATTCTAACAACTGTTTGATGGGATTTGAATATTGCATTATTTTTCAACATAGGCAGGCAAATAATTTTGATTTTGAGGACCTCTAAAAGGATCTTGGGGAATCAGTCACTGTCTAGGATCACATTTTAAGAAACACTGTTCTACATCATACAGGCAGTCATACTGACTCTTATTTCAACAAGGATTGAATACAAATGAACTGTCATCAGAATAACTTGACAATTTTGACTGAAAATAGTCCTTTTTCAAAATGATAATTTGTCATATACTTTTTTTTTTTAATCTTGATCTCATTTGTTTCTTACCTAGTAGCTCAAACTGAAGATAACCCCAATGTTTTCTTCTATTTTCTTCTGCTATTTGTGGTCAAATGAGAGACCCTACCTTTTTTTTTATTTAGGTGAGAACCATTACCCACTGAGAATCCCAAAGGTGCCTTTTGAAAAGGCAACTGGGCTTTCTCTGTTTTTTCCTTGAAGTCATTTCACTTCTCATTCAAGAAGCTTCTTCAGTTCTGAACCCACATCATCACAAAGATGATGGCCATCACAGGGCCAAGGGGAAGTGGCTGGGC